ACCGCCAACGTTAGGAAAAAAAAGTGCTCCGCCGCAGCGGTGGCCTGGGACTCCGCCACGCGCACAAACACGCCGCTGCAGCCTACCCGGGTTCCGCGACCGGTACCGAGGAACAGTGCTTGCAACTGGACCCCCACTACAGCCTCTCGCTGCGGGACGCCTGGGCCGCCTTCAACCAGAACGTTCTACCAGCCGACCGCGTCTCGCCTCCGGCAACCTCCCCCCTTCGCCAGCAACACTGGTCAAAGGCGTGTTGGCTGATCTTGGCGCGGCTGGCCATGGCCAAGAGGCCTTCCGCGTCCACCTCCAGCTCGTGCAACAATCCGGGGCGGGCGCATGGCTTCATGCCCCAACAGCCGAGAATCTGGGCCTGCCTGCGCTTACCTGTGGCGTCAGAGGACGTCGCTTGCCCGCCCTGCGATGGGGTTGCAGACAGGATGGGTGATCACGCCAGGGCCTGCCCTTGCGGTGGTGATCGCCCGACAAGGCATCAGGTCTATTCTGGCTGCCCGCACGCAGGCCGCGGGACTCAGCCCCATCGTCAAAAAGCCTGGGTTGCTGCCTCCTCGTCCGGATGTTGGAGGTGCGCCGGAAGATGGGGCGCGGAACGGTGGTGGCCGTCGTCCAGCTGACGTGTGGGTGGGCAATTAGGGTGCTCACGGAGCTGCGGCCTTTGACTTGGTTGGGACCTCGGGCATGAGACAAGGGGCTGTTGCTGCCTCAGCAGAGTCGGGGGCGCATGCTTCAAAAGACTACGGGGCTCGCAAGCGAGCCCACTTGCAGACCGCCGCCGCCTGTGCTGAGCAAGGGCTACAGTTCATCCCTCTGGTCGCTGAAGCAGCGGGTGGAGGCTGGGCCCCTGCGGCCATGAAGACTTGGCATCCCTGCGGCCATGAAGACTTGGCATCAGCTGTCCCAGTGCGTCGCCGCCCGCTTTGGGGAAGACGCAGCTCTGGAACAGGACGCCGTCGACATCGGCTGTGCTGTGCGCGTAAGTGGCGATACCATGTGTGGCATCGCAGCACGGCGCGGAGCCGTTGGGCGTCGCTCCGTAGATGACCACGTCTAACCGGCGTCGGTCATGCGAACGCACCCCGGGTGCTGTGGTGTTCACAAGACATTGTTGCGTGCCCTTCGGCACCGACGGCTTCGCGCGCGACACGGACCCAGGCTCGTTCGACTATCTTGGCGCGCCGAGCATCTGCCGTGGCAGATCGGGAGCGGCATGCGCAGGCGGTGGCGGAGCGCTAGCTGCATGGCCTGGGGCGCGAGCGTCATGGCTGGCTCGGCCGGTATGGCAGTGAACGACCCTGCATGAGGCCCCGATTGGGACCGCACCAACGCCCGGGCAGCCGGCGGCATAGCCCGGCCGGGCGGGCTCCTTGGAGGATCGCTCGCCAACTTGGGCAGGCTTCCCAACCTTCTGCTTGTAGGAGCTCGCGGGCCTCGGCAGCGGTGCGCAGGCTGGGGGCGTCGTCGCCGCCGCGCTCCAGTGCTCCCTGATAAAGCTCGACAAACTGAGGCAGTCGGGCGTGGATCTTCCCCGCCCACGGCAAAGCAACAAGTCACCTCGTTTGCGGCGTGCAACCATTCTTAGCAAATGTCCGCCTACGGGCGCGCAGCTGTCTCCAACTGCGTTCCCACAATGGGGGGCTGGCTCCCAGGGCGCTGCCTCACATGCAACCCACACAGCGCGCCTACCAGCCAGCCCCAGGCGAGCTGCAAAGGGGCGAATCCTGCCGTGCCAGGCTGTCGCGGCACGCAGGTGGGCGGCAGCGAGGCCCCAAATTGCAACGACGAGCCAACCATGCAGTAGCCATGCCAGCACCATTGCCCGACTGTCATAAGCACGGTCCATACCATAGCGAGACGGCACCCTGGAGTCTAGCCCTATAGAGGCCTGTACGACTGCCGCCAATACGAGAGGCAAAGCTTGAGAGCACCTGAGCCAAGATGGTTTGAGTCTATGCCTCTATGACGTTTATGTTTGTATGCCATATGATCGTGGTCCAGTAGTCGGACCCGCACACAACTTCGACTGTGCCCCCCTATTTCTCAGTTGTTTAAGTATTACTTTGTTCATAGGTTCTGACCCGAGCTATACGGAGCACGGCCATTCTGGCTCTCGGGTTCTGCAATGCCGTCGAATTGCAGAGGTTCCTCAAAGAGGATAGGGGTAGGAAGGTGTTTCGATGTGGGGGAAGTGAGAGGCTGGAGGTGGAGCGCTGCAACGAAAGGTTTGAACAAAAATGTTCCAAGTTGCAGGTCAGATTCTGTGGGTACACCAATTCAAGCACGCAATCTCCCGGGTCCCGAGCCATGTCCGTCGAGCTGGCACGACGCGTTCAAAACGCTTTCGACAGCATTGACTCTGACGGAAATGGACTAATTACCAAAGAAGAGCCGCTTGGTTTGTACAAAGAACATAGGTTGTAGTAGCCCACGGAAAAGACTAGAAAACTTGCACCCCCCAGTACTTGCACTCCCCAGTACAGACAACGATTGAAATCTGAAGCCACACTTGCGCCGCTAGAGGTTACGCTGATATCCAGATGGTGTGAGTCTGGCGGTGTGTTTAAACGTGTTTACACCAATTGGTCCCAGGATGCGTGAGCTATTCGCTAGCTTTGGAGCCCCTGAGCTTGACGAACTGGTGCCTGGGATGCTTTATTTGGAGCAGTTCTGTGATTCTCCTGAGTCTGCTTGATGCAATCATGTCCAATTGATTTGTGATGATACAAACATAACTCGGCACGCCAAGCCCAAGCCTTCAATACTGTGGGACCTGGTCAGCGAAGCGGGAGGGAAGAAAATACTGTGGACGGCCGTGTTGAGCTGAGGTCGATGGCATGGACACAAACAAAGATGGCAAGATCTCCTATGAAGAGTTTGTTTCCTGGGTGTTCAATAAAGAAGCTGGTCCCGAACAAGTTTCGGATCGATTTTCAGTGTTTGGCAAGCCGGCAGTGCATCCTTCGTGTTGTGCCTCACCTGCCCAGGAGAAAGGCGCCGACAGCTTGGTGCGTGTAAATATGAGCCAGCTGATGGAGACGTCGGCGTCGGCGTGTTTGGTCAAGCCTAAATTTGTCACTCCGGATATTCCTCAATACGACCAACGTTGTCTTCCAGACGATGATAGCTGGCTCAAGCTGCGCAAGAAGCTCCAGGCATTGGGGCTGTGGAGGATGTCATGTGCAGAGGGTGCTCGTGGGTGAATCTGTCATGCTTGAAGCCTCTGCTCGCGCTCCTTTCGGGTTTTCGGTTGTCCGGTTTTCGGCTGGTTGGAGAATTAGTACAGTGCCGCGTTGAGCAGGACGGCAAAGAAGTGTTTCAAGACAAAAGCTTCGACGCCGTGGATGACTCTTTGCCCCTCGGTTCCTGGAGAGATGCGTGCAAGAGGTCCCGAAATCCTTGCTGAACGTGTCAGAGTTCGCGCCCATTCAAGTGTTGCAAGGTTTGGGGGCAGCGCTGTGGAGTTGGGTGACAAAGCTGCTGGCAAGAAGCCGCCCTTCAAGGCGAGTGATCAGTTCCACACAACGGTTTAGGGAGGCTTCGAGGGCTTCCCAGGCGGAGAGAAACTGGGAAGGGGCCCTCAGCCACGTAGAGCAAGGGCAGGTCCGCGAGTCTTTATGCGGCTGTTGTAGAGCCCTCCGAGCTTTGCTATTGCTATCCGCACTGAGCCATCCGTTGCCGCAGAGCGAGGTGGACCATTGGGCTCGCATTTGGGACATGGGCGAAGCAAGTCGCAACGGGCCGCTGGCAAAAGATGGAGCTTCGGCATGTGACATAGAGCAGGCGCGGGGGGGGGGGGGGTCCAATGCGACGACTTTCAGTAGCTTTCGCATGTTGCCTAAGGAAGCTTCGGCTAGGTTGGTTGATCATTGTAGCAGGGCCGTTGGTTGGCTTTCCAGTGTCTGCTCCCTCGTCGGTGCAAAGTGTTGCTGAACTGGCGTTGCGAAGTGCGAGTTTTTTGCCCAAAGAACCAGAAAACTTTTTGCAGGTAGAAGGGCAACCCTGGGCTCTCCAAATTCGCAAGTCGGGCAGGGGCAGCTTGGAGACTGCTACTTCCTGAGTGCGGTTGCAGCGACTGGCTCCGCAAACATGGAAGGTTTGGCCAGCTTCGTGGGATTTGGAATGCCGTGAAGTTGGGGTTGATATTGGTGCATCTTTGCTCATTGACTTGGAGTCCTGAGGCAGTTTCGCAGTCCGACGTACTCATGGCCAGGCTTCTGCCAGGTTCGCAGACCGTGAACGAGGAAGGGTTTCTGGGTGGCAGGTTAGCCAGTGAAAATGCTGTCACGAGCCGTCGAGTCCTTTGAGGCTCTATGCTGTGCGCTTTTGGCAGGATGGGGCCTGGCGGCTCCTGGCCTTGGAGTTTGTTGGATGTAGCGCTAGCTGGGGCCGAATTCAGCCGATCGGAGCCCTGAGCCGAGCCGAGGATCGTTGTAGTCGATGACCGGCTGCCCTGCCGTGGTCACAACAAGCTAATCTTCGCAGGCGCTCCGCACGACAGCTTCTGGGTGGCTATCGTGGAGAAGGCCATGCCCCACCTCAAGTGTTCAAAATGCCGATGATGGTCACATCCAAAGAAGGAAACCAGCTGTTCAGAATTAAATGGGGCACAAGCTGTGTTACAGGCGTTTGCCAAGCTCAACGGGAGTTATCGCGCAATCTCCAGTGGCAGTCAGCCCGATGCCCTTTACGCTCTGACGGGCGTCCTGATGCCGCGGACTGTGCAGCCCGGCCAAGTTTCGTGCGTGTCGAGAGCATGCTGTTTCGAGGTTTTGCATCCCACACAGCCAAGGAAGCTGCGGCCCTACCGGCGGGATCCTGCCGACAAGGAGGACGCATGGCGTCCGAAACCTGCATCCTAGGTCCTAGGCCAGAACCTCATGTCCATACCTGTTCTGCTCAAGGAGCTGTTCAACGCGATGTGCGAGTGTGCCAGCACTGGCGGCGTGCTGGGCTGTGGAAGCAAAGGCCGGAACCTTCGAGCAAGGGTACATCCTCCCTCCTGTGAGCCTCGCAAGGATGCCTTCCTTCAGGTTGCATGGAGTAGATATGAGTAGATCATCCATGCGCTAGACCCTGCATCTCCTTCTGTAATCTTGCCGTGCCCCGTGCCATAGAGTTCTGAAGGCGACGATGCAGACAATATACACATGTTCATACCAGAATTGGCAACAAGGTTTTGTAACACAAGCATTCAAACTCCCGGGTCCCACCGCTCGTGACCCGCTTTTTGAGGCAAGTGGGAGCAGGGCATTGCCCCTTTGCATGCCTACACCGTTCTGGGTCTTTGCCAAATCCGTGCAGCTGGAGCAGTTGAGAAGCCTCTCGGAGCTTGTCCCAGGGAAAGACCCAATGTCACCCCTGTCATGAACCGTCAACCGATGGCAAAGCCTGGGACCTAGGTTGGTACACATCCGCAACCCCTGGGGCAGTGGCCGGGAGTGGAAGGGCAGATTTTCTGACGGAGATGCGGCATGGAAGGAGGCAGGTGCTCAAGCTTTGTAGAAACAGGCTTTGCATCATTTTTCGGGCTTTTCGCATGCTGCCTCAGCAAACATCAACCTGGCCCTGTATACATCAACCTGGCCATGTATACGCTTGTGTCAAGCCCCATCAAACTAGCTGCATTCAGACTTTCAGGTCACTGTTGAGGAGAAGGAGCGTCTGGGCGTCAGGAGACGAAGCCCTGGGGATCGGGAATCAGAGCATAGGGCTGGGATACCAGGAACCCCTCCTCGGTTCAGATATCCTCTTGATTCATCTTCCAGAGAAATCTTCATCTGTAGCGAGTGTCTGCTGTAGCAGCCAGGAGCCGAAAGGACGGAACTTGGTATATGAGCTTTGACGATTTCTGTCAGCATTTCTTTTGTGCCTACTTCGGCATGCTGTTTCCTCCAAAGACGCACAGTCTGTACCATGTGGCCTCTCGGGCTGAAATTTTGCATGGTCATCGGTGAATTTATAGATTCATGGGGCCTGGCTTTCGCCTGACATCTCAGGCAACAGAATCCGAGCCTGGTAAGACGCCGCCGAAAATTGTTGTCAAGGCTTTATCTCCTGGATCGATTCGCGTGCTTTTTGGTGGACCGACTTCGCGTGCATTGCCGGACTCCGCCGCAAGGGCAGTGATCAAGCTATCCTGTCTAAAGACTCGACATGATCAATCACGAGAGCGGACTCGGGCTTCAGGGACGAGCTCGTCTATGGACGCCACCTTCACAGCATGCAAGGGAGACACGCTGCTCTTTGAATTCAAGTCGAGTCTCAGCAGCCGAATCTACCTCACCCTTGTGTGCCCGCAAGATTCGGAGGCCAGCCCGCAGTCTGAGTCTGTAGTTGCGACCTGAAACTCCAAACGTGCCCAAAAATCCTTCTCTGCAGGTCATAGCAGACCATGGCGATGGCGAGGTCGAGCTTTCTGCCCCTCCAGAATTGGAGAAGGAGGAGAGGGAGGATGACCCTGATGAGCAAGCAATGCTGTAGCTGGGGCTGTGCTTTCGAGCGCTGATATTCCGCTCTACTTAGCGGTGTTGCTGTTTGATGGTCAGTCTGACTTCTGCTAAACACTAACAGCAAGCATCAGAACTCGTAGCAGACGAGGTGTGCAGTAAGCATGGAAAAGTTGAGCAGGAGGCCAACTCTTTGCACCTTCAGCTCAGACCTGCTGTAGACTCTAGATGCCTACTCCTCGGACCCTTGGAACTTCGAACCGCTATGACTATGAAGTATGCGACCCAAGCAACGGTAGATTCTTACAGCCTAGGGGCCTCCGCGCGAAGCCGCTTGAAACCAAGGCAAGTCGTGCGCAAAGCCGCCGACTTGACGGGCTGGAGCGAGGAGGATCAGCAGGCTGTGGCGCAGAAGCTCCAGCGTCCTGGCCCTGACTGCGCCGGAAGCGTTTGCAATCCTTCAGAATGCAGGGCACGGGTTCATTCTGCAGGTCTTTGTCCAGGACATGTGATGGCCGGTGATGAGCTGCGCCAAGGTTGCTTTCGGCTAGCGCTTCCGAGGTCTGCAGAGATCTCTTCCCCGCACGTCTTCCTGACACTGCTTCTCTCAGGCAGAGCCCGGCTCTTTTTTAAATTGATTTCCGGATTTCGAGTTCGATTTTTTTTTACTCGGGAGGGGTTTCGGGTGTCGGCTCCGAAAGTTCGGGAGAGGCGACATCAACTCCAAGCTGCCGAAGGGCAAGGGTTTCGGCAAGCGGAGCTTGCGGCACCTGCGGCACGTGGCTGAGGCGCATGCGCTCGCGCTCGCGCCTGAATCCCCAGCCCTTTGACCTCAGAGCTCACATGGAGAGGAGCTCGCTGAGCTAGAAGATGTGGTGAAAGACGTGGCAAAGCACACGGGCTGGGAGGAGGAGGATCAGAGCAAGGCTTGGGAGGGTTCGCAAACCAGTTGTAACCCCGGAGACGTCTTTATGCCTGCAGGTGGTGCGGAAGTTCGTTGTGGCAGGACTCTGCTCCTGCGAAGAGCTTGCGGATGCCTTGCTCCACTCGAGTGTGAACCGTCGCCTGGTCGATGTCGGTCAGCAGCCGTTTGGAAAGAAGTCCAGCGGTGCCTTGAAAGCTTGGGCAAAGAGGCGACATCGCCAAAAAGCCGAAGAATCAAGCTTTTTGACAACGCAAGCATTCTGAAGTGCTTGATGTGCATCCAGGTGGAGCGCGATGAGCTCGGACGACATCCCGGGCAAAGACGGAAAGGACTCCGATGCCCTCCATCAGGGCCTTCTGCTAGCCGAGGACGACTGACGTCGGGCAGCTCGCTGTCACCGGCGGTTTGTCGGGGACGGTTGTTCTTAATTCACCAAGTCGGAGTCCAGCTGTAAATCTGCGTATGTATCTGCCGGTCATCCAAGCATTGGTTTCCAGCCGGCTTTTCACCAGCTGGTTTCACTTTTTACCAGTTTTTTTTTTGCCTTGCAACCACTGCAGAGCCGACACTAGCAGCTTTCACGAGACCGTCGAGACACAGCCAAATGGTTTCGCAAGAAGGCACGGTATAAATGGCGCGGTTTAGTATTGCCAAGCGTCTTGGCCATAAGTGAAGCAGATGCGGCATGTGCGGCTTGAGACAAGCTCCAGAGCAAGACCGAACGAAACCCATAAGTTGGCTTCGGGCCTCGCTTCTGGCATTCGGGCTTTTGCTTAGGTCCTTTGTTGCTCAAGCATTCCAAGTCGAATAGTTGCGCCGCTTGATCGGTGCACCCTTCTGGTCTTCGAGAACCATGGCCATGCCAGGAACCGGGGTGGGGTGCTGGTGGAGTGCAGATCTTCAACTGGGACTGTGTGACAGGCATGGACCAACTGTCCCAGAGGGACCAGATGCAGGTCATGGCTGCGCTCAACGAAATGCAGATGCAGGCTTGGTCAGCTCACGAGATGAGCTGTGGCTGCTTTCCGACACGTACAGGAGATGATGAACACCTACAACAACTTGGTGGAAAGATGTTTCAACGAGTGCATCACGAGCTTCCGAACGAAGGCATTCGCAACTTTCGGTTGCCACTGCTAAGGTCAGTCTTGCTCGGATGCATTCATAGAGTCTTCTGATCTATTCGGAAAGCATTTTGTCGACCGTCACAGGGCCTGGAAGGCTCTGAGGAGCAGTGTGTTACTCGTTGCGTGCGGAGCTTAGACTTGCCGGGTTGCTTCTTGGCATGTACACTTCTGCGATGCGAGGTGCAGAAGTACATGTCCTTTACCCAGCTGGGGGCCCGGCGGTGTGTCTGAATGTGCTTGCTGCTTGCAAGATCCCAGCATATTCGTATCGAGGCGGGTGGGCTTGCGATTCCAGGAGAAGCAGCAGCAGATGCAGCTGCAGCACCCCAGCTGAAGTAGTTAAGTTCATTTTGAACTTCTATCATTCGCGACACGTGGCATGCGAATTCTTAAGCCCAGTGTGGACTGAGGAAGCCATCATGAGCCCCACAGCATCGGTTTTGATACCTCCAGTTCTGCCAGTCCCAGACTGCCTACAGTTGTCCTTCCGACGAGCGGTGCAGCCACGGATGTGGGCACAGGCGTTAAGTTCCAGATCTGCTCTAGCTTTCCGGAATGTTGCAAGCAGGTTTGGAAAGCTCTATGTCGTTTCACGAGCCAGAACGGGCAAGCATGAAAAGCAGCCCAGAAGAATGCCAAGCGGTGGCACAAAATCAGATTGGAATGTGCAATGCATTTTCGGCAAGATTGGTTGAACGGCCAATTCCCCGACGACGGCTGGCGCATACAAGGACCCTATCACATCACTTTGTTGGCTCGAGACCCGGACTATCCCGGATTTGCTTTTGGTCGCAGTTGTGCTTGCCTCAGACTATCTCGTTCTGCCATTGCCAGGGAGATGTGTTACAGGCCCATACCTAGCTCTGAATATAAACCCAGTACTGTAGGTGGCCATGCTGCATTCATGCGTTGGAGTAGTGTATAGCAAGAGATGCACGCTTGCTCGTGACGTGGACTTGTGCAGCTCTGCAGCTTCCCCAGTCTTCTGAGGCCCGCTGAGGAAATCCCGCCTGGCGTGCAAGCACTCTCCATATACTTTCAGCAGAGAAGCGACCCATGGCTCAATCAGTGGTGCCTAGGAAAGGCACTGTGCACGTGCATTTCGCGATCTCACAATCGTGTGTGTCCTGCTTGGTTGGCTTTGCTGTTGCATCTTTGCAGCAACCAAAGCTCTACTTTTAGTCTGGCGACTGCAAGGCTGAGATGGTTCCGAAGTCCGCGATTTTTGGTCCTTGAGCTTTCCGTAGATTCTCCGAGTGACATGAGAATGAGGGAAGCTGGGGTGTCGCTCTGATCACTCTGATCACACCCCAATGGATCAAAATCTTTCACGGCCGCATCCCGCGAAGTCGCATTCGATGGCACACTCGTCGCTCCAGAAAGCTTTCAACTAAGGACTTGAACCGATTCATGTTGAACGTCAGAGCCTCAGCTCTGGCAGTTTGAACTTCGTGATCCGAAGAGACAGGCCAACATAGATCCAAAGCCTCGAGGCAGTACGATTTGCGTTTGCCACCTTGGCAGTCGTCCATGTGGTGACTGCCACGGACTCGGAATGCTTGGAGGCAGACTGCGGTGTGGTTGAGGCGCGCCTGAAGGGCATCACCTCAACGGTGCAGTCAGCCGTCAACACACGTGTTTCTGATAGCAGTGCTTCCCCCTTGCGTTTTGCAAACTGCCGCACTTTTTGGATCTGCGGCCAGGACGAAACCCCTCTGCTGGACGTCCAGCTCCTCCAGAAGTCCTTGCGCCTAACTCCCTCGAAGCCGTCGGCCTTAGAGACAGCACTGGCCTCAGAAGGAGAACCGATTTGGCCGAGTTTGATCCCCCGGTTCTTGTTTTTAACCAGCCGTGTGTTGCTGGTCATGCCGAGGTAGAAGCTGATGGCAGCGTCACTGCTAGGGAGGCTGACATCCATCCCTTGGAGGACTGCCCCCCTTCTTGAGTTTCGGGGTCCAGCATGAAGACAGCTCGTTGTAGCCTGAGGAGCATTCTCTCCTTCAGACCTCCATCGAGGCAGACTAGTTCTTGTGTGACAGTTTTCAGCAGTTCCCCAGTCTGACATGGGATCCTTGCCTGCATGTTTCTGTCCCTCTTGCTCGTCGAAGTTTCCCCTTCCTAGGCCAACACCCACAACGCTTGTCAACGGCAGGTCGGGGAAGCGGAGAAAATGACCGAAGTCTTGGGAATGGACGGCAGCGCAGCGGCAAAGAATTCAGCCAGCTTCGTAATTGGCACCGTGAGCAAACGACAGCATAGCCACAAGAATTCTTGTAATCACTATATCAGCAGTAGCAACACCACAAAGCATTACAACAATCAGACTTCTCATGATACTTATTACTGGTCGCACGACAACCGTAAATAGGAAGATGGAGAACGCGAGCTATATGCAGGAGTATGATCATCGCAGCCATCATCCAGACAGAAAGAGTCGCGAGCAGACCCATGTCGATGCAATATCATGGTCTTGAAAGACAAGGACAACATGTCCATTAATTACTGGTTTTGCTGCTGCCGCTCCATCCGCTCCTGCTTCTGCTACCGCTGCCGCTGCCGCTGCTCTAGTACTACTGGTAGCAACAACTAATAGCAACAAAGACACGAGTAGTACTGGGTTTAGCAGCAGAGACGGCGACAGCTGGACCGATAAGGGCCGCCATAGGGAAGCTGAATGCTGGTCGAATCATGGTAATAGAACTTGTGGAAGGGAGTGGCATGTGTAATCGTGAGTGCTGGAACCATGACATCAGCAATAGTCATGGTGGGTAGAAAGACAATGACTCGTGTAGCAGCCTGAAACACAATCGCCGTGGCAACCAACAGCAGGCACACGCCCTTCTGCATGCAAAACTTTCGGAAGGCTTCGGATTTTGGCTTTCATCGTTTGGGTTGATGGGTTGGGTAAGGGCATGACCATCTTTCATGCGAGCCTGGCTTAGTTCCTAAGCAGCACAGGCTGGCGGCTGCGCCCAAATGCAAGCTGCTTTGTGGAGGCAAGGTCAGATGCCTTTTTTTGAAGATGCTGCAAGTAATGTTAGGTCCTGCATCTTCAGTGCCACATACGGTGCTCGCATGCTGCAATCCATCAGCTTGATTCAGCTCCACAAGGAAGCTCAATCAGTCCTTCTGTGGTCAGCCGGAGACTGCAACACATGAGCCAAAACCAAGCAAACCGCGACTCATTTCTGAACAAATTGCAGAAAGATGGCCTATTTCGTTCCAGGGCCTGCTGCCGGTTTCTGGCACGAAGTCATTGTTGGTCCAGTCGTGGACTTGGATGTGTCGGGGTGGATGGTGTGGGAAGGCATGGCTGTCGCAAGTCCAGGAGCTTGCGATTTTGCATTTCGCTTTGCATGACATTGCTCCTTCGCATGCTGCTTGAGGCTCGGAACTGTGCATGAGCTGTCCAACGAAGTCGAGCACTCCTCATTCTCGATCTCGTCCTTCCTCTTTGCGGATTCGACACAGCTGAGGCGGACCCTGTTTTGTTGCCCCGTGAGCAAGCCCTGTGACCAAGTGTCATTCCAGGGCCACCCTGTTGTTGTCCATCTACGTTGCAATCTACTTCTTCTCCGTTGCACGGGCACCCAACAGCATGAGTGCAGTGCACCTGTCAGAGATGCCAGAAGAAAATGCCATGTAGCATCTGCCCAAGTCAGCCTGCAAGACTCAAGTAATCCCAAGGCCCAAGTACATGCCATTAAGGTCAGCATGTACTACCACATGACGACAGTGCGACCGGTGGGCAAAGGGACTCCACTCCCAGGCTATAACAAAAGGGAAACCTGGCTCAGCACTGTCAGCGAACTGTCGGGCATCATGTCAGCCACCCCGCTGTGGACATGTTTCAGCGTGCAGCCTTCGATGCCACCGTCTAGCCAACAAGACTGTACTCGTAGGAAAGTGGTTTTGACTGCTTTCTCCACAGTGCATTGCAAGGAAACCTGTCCCGAAGACGAGATTTTGCAGAGCCATTCCTACTTGAGCTGGCTGTGTGTGCTTGGCCCTGAGAGGGGAGGCTGGCGGAGATCTGTCGTGCAAACTCATCAGGCCCGGTGAAAGCTGCGTGCACGTCATCTGTGCATCGCACCAAGGACCTGGTTGAGCCCCATGGTGGCTCGCCTAGGCACAACGGCATTTTGCTTGTGTGCAGAAATTCAAGATGCTGAACTCGCCGAGTTTGGGTTTAGGCCTATTAGGGATGAGGAACCTTGCGCAAGCAACAATAATATCAACGACGCTGCTGG